TCCCTCCTAGTATCGCTACTCTCACTACTGGTCCTGAGGGGCTTATCTGTCCTGGATTCCCTGTGTTTCCAGCTCTTATCTGTACCAGTGTACATCATCTGGTCTAGCTAGATTTGTAAGGTAGAACTGGGATCATGATAGTGGGGGGAAGTAAGCATTAAAGAACTAGAGCAGTATTTCTCAACCTATGAGTTGAGACCCCTTTGGGGTCGAATGACCCTTTCCCAGGGGTTGCCCAACTCATAATAGTAGCAAAATTATAGTTATGAAGTAGCAATGAAAATAATTTTATGGTTGGGGGTCACCACAACCTGAGGAACTGTATTAAAGGGTCACGGCACTAGGAAGGTTGTGAACCACTGAACTAGAGGAAAGTTTTATGTTGCATCTGTGCTATACTGCACCCTGACTGGCTCGTCTCTTCCCTGAGACCCTTCTGTAAGGGAATGTCCAGTTGCCTACAGATGGGCTGTGGGTCTGCATTCAATACTCCCCCTCATTCACAATGATTTGGTTTTTGTTCTTTGATGCCTGATACCTGATCCCATTGACACCTCGTGATCACACAGGCTGGTGTGCTTCTTCCATGAGGGCTTTGTTGCTTCTCAGCTAAATGGCTGCCTGTTTATCTTCAAGCCTTTAAGACCCCAGATGCTATATCTTTTGATAACCAGGCACCATCAGCTTTCTATACCACATTTGCTTATGTACCCAGTTTGTCTTCAGCGATGGTGTTGGGAAAGTGAGCATCATGGAATGCCAGGTTCATAGAACGTGTTCTTGCATTGAGGGAGTACTTGAATAGAGGGCCAAAGTCCATCTGCTACCTTAATACTCAACCTGTAAATGCATGCACATAGGGTGCAACAACTTCGGATGTTAGGTCCCCCCGCTTCTTCAGCCCGCTTCCAGGGAGCCATTCAAGAGCCTGCTGGCAGTCTTCAAAATCAATAGATAGTTCTAGTTTAAGGTAACCAGATTTTAACATTGGTAAAGCAAGACAAAAGCAGGACACCAGTGATAAAACTCATATCCTGGCAAAATAGCCACATGGCAACCGAAAACCATATACCCTAGCTTGTTGTGCATTCTTTCCAAAAATCGGGACTTTTTTAAAACGCCGTAGGATGCAGGAAAAATTGTTAAAAAATCTGGACTCTCCCGCCAAAAGCAGGATGTCTGGTCACCTTATTCTAGTTTCCAAGTTTGCCTTAGGAAGAAGAGGACGTGTTCTTTAAATGTATCGTTGTTTGTTTTTCTTTGGTTTGGAGATACGACAATGGATTTGCCCTCTAATTCCTCCCAGCCTCACCCGTAGCCCTCCCCTCTGATTAAAAAACACACACTCACACTCAGAAGGGATTTTCTTTTCTTTTTTTATCATTATTTATAAGTTTGTTGACAGAAGAGAGAATTATTAAAATGCCCCTCCCCTCCATGTAGAAGGGCCAAGTGGCAGTTGGCCCAGGAGTGGGGCTTCCCAGGACATAGGGCATCCCCCTGTGAAGCTGAGTCAGTGTTGGGAGCAGGCATGCATCCGTGTCCCCACCTCCAGGCCCTTCCATTTCTTCTTGCAATCCCTTATTAGGAAGGTTTTCGACTGCCTCTAAAACCGACAGGTGCTCTTGGTCTCTGGGGTGTTTGAGGACATGAACCCGCCCTCTGTAGGTTGCGGGACGACATGACGGTGTGTGTGGCAGACTTTGGCCTCTCCAAGAAGATTTACAGTGGTGATTACTACCGCCAAGGGCGCATCGCCAAGATGCCTGTGAAATGGATCGCCATAGAGAGCCTTGCCGATCGAGTCTACACAAGCAAAAGTGACGTGGTACGTACACGGGTTTGCTTTGCTTTCCCCTCCCCCCCAATGAAAAAGAAATGACTGGAGGTGGTGTCCCAAGACTTTTTCATCTTTAATCAACTGGGGATCATGCTCAATCCGCCTCTTTGTTGCTTACAAAACAAGGACAACAACAAAACCGGTTGCTGTCAAGTCCAAGCTGACTCTTGGTGAGCCATGTGTATCAGTGTAGACTGTGTGCTTCTCATGGTCAGAGGCCTGTCTTGCAAGGCGCCTCTGGACCTGTGGGTGCACGCCAACCTCCATCCTGTCAGTTGGCAGCTTCGGGCCCTTGCACCAGCCAGACCCAGGTACGTTAATGCGAGTGGAACGCTCAAACTAACAAAACCCAACCCCATGGCTCCTCAAATCACTTCCAACTCATAATGGCCGTGTGACAGAGTAGAACTGCCCCATAGGGTTTCTAAGAAGAAGCAGATGCTTAGATCTTTCTCCTGCAGAGTCCCTGGTGAGCTGAAGCCACCCGCCTTCCAGCTGGCAGTCAAGTGCTTAACCCCTGTGCTGTCCGGGTTCCTAGACCCTGACCAAGCCTCCTGGCATTCGGAAGCACTGGGCTTTGCATGGGCCCTTCCTTGAGTCCCACTTTCTTTACCTCACTATGGGGACTTATGGCCCGCAATGAAGATAGTTTAGATTCACATTCAATGGGGTGGCTTCACCCAGAGGCCTTTTGAAACCAAGATGCTATTATATGTGTTGTGCTGTGTGATTGTATACCAGACCAGCATCTGGGAAAAGGAAATCACTTCGGAGCAACGTTGGGGCAGGGCATTTATGTGAGATGGAGCTGTGTCTGCCTTTGTCACCATGCCTGGACCAGCTGTAGTGAAAATGGGGCATGTCTAGAAATGGCGTGGCAAGGGTGTCTGACCTCCTCAAACTTCAAAGGAGGAAGGAGAACCTTGCAGCAGATTGCTGCAAGGTGAAGGTCAGGCATACATCCTTTCTCCAGCATTTTTTATTCATTCTGACCCAGCCATCCCTCCCGTGGCACTTTCTGCTTCTCTGTTGGCATCCATAATTCATGGTAGTGACCACCCAGAACTTTCGGACAATACTTACAATTATGGGGTTTATTAGGGAAGTAACAGGTTACTATTCGGGATCAGAAACAACTCGTGATACAATCAGAACAGCCTCCTCTTGCCCTCTGCTGCTGGGTACTGCTCAGGCCCATCAGAGATGAGTGTCACAAAGTCCTTTAGCAGTACTGATCAAGTGCTCAGAGGTGCTTAGCTCTAGCCTTGTGGGCCCGCAAGCCTAGTTTCTCCACCAAGGGCCCAGATGCACGGTATTCTACCAGCAAGTCTCCTGTCTCTTCAGCTCTCTAGTTCCAAGGGTCAGGGAGTCGACTGCATACTCTGCTGCCAGTCTGCTGGTTTTGCTGCGGCGGTTCTCCGCTGTACTTCTGCCGCTTCTTGCTGTCTTGCACTCTCCCTGGTGCTATAGCTTTCTGACTCCTTGATCTAGGACAGTGGTTCTCAACCTTCCTAATGCCGCAACCCTTTAATTCAGTTCCTCCTGCTGTGCTGACCCCCAACCATAAAATTGCTTCGGTTGCTACTTCATAACTGTAATTTTACTGCTGTTATGAATCATCATGTAAATAACTGATAGGCAGGATATATTTTCATTGTTACAAATTCATCACAAAAACAAACGTCATTATATATTGCAAAATACTTATTTCTAATAACAAATCAATGGAAGTTTGTCTTGAAGCATGGTGGAGCATGGGTAACAGTCTTCACCCTGGGTGCTCATAGGTGGCGTATCTGCATGTGGGCAGACCTGCCTCAAGACGGATAGAGGAGCCATGTCTCGGTTCCTAAGCCCATCGGAAATATGAGTTTTCCGATGGTCTTAGGTGACCCCTGTGAAAGGGTCATTTGACCCCCAAAGGGGTCGCGAGACCCACAGGTTGAGAACCATTGGTCTAAGAGGTTTTCAGGACAGGGACCCCGCAGGTTCAAAGGATGGTGCTATGTTCCTAAATCCACTCGCAGCCCTTTCTGCTTAGTAGTAATAAAGTTCTGCAGACACCCCCCACCCCCACCCGCCTCACACACACACATACCAGTCTGCCTCTGATATGGCTCATTTTAAAGCTCACCAGGATGGCAAAACTGGCCAATCCCTCCTGCAACTTCCATGCATGAAGGGTGTCATGTACCTTACTTGCATCATTAGCGAACTGCCCAATCCCTTGGTGGGCACAAACACTTTGTTGGCATTGTTTCACCCAATCACTTGGTGGGCGCAACATGACCGTGCCAAGCAGGGCCGTGTAAAAACGATCTATCACACTGTGAGACTTCAACCACGCACATTTCTGGGTCGGGAGAGCAGCATATCTCAGATGTAGTTGTCAGCCCGGTGACGTGTGAGCAATCCACAAGGCCTTAAGGAAATTACCTTTCCCAGTGAGGGAGGGCAAATAAAAATTTTTTTTAAGTTATTCCTTCAGGCTTTCTGGAAAAACTAGCATCCTAACTTATTGTTGCTTTCTTTTCTCAGTGGGCATTTGGCGTGACCATGTGGGAAATAGTGACGCGAGGGATGACTCCCTATCCTGGAGTCCAGAACCACGAAATGTACGACTATCTTCTTCACGGCCACCGGCTGAAGCAGCCCGAGGACTGCCTGGATGAACTGTGAGGGCCAGGGGCCTCTGCTGGGGCCGGTGGTGGTTCTGGAGCCTGGGAGGCACAGCCAGAGGTGGGGAGGGAGAGACCGGGGTGGGGAGGGCTGCAGGTGAGTGAAGGTGCATACATCACAGCCCCTCACCTTGTCTGGGGCAGGAGGGAGGGAGCACCTCGCTGCTGGCCCTGCTGGGGCTCTCTCAGGGGAGAGAGAGCTGCATCCCCCGGCCTCATTTTAATAGAGAGGTGCTGAAGTTCTCTCAAGTTCTCCAAGTCCGTCCAAGAAATAAATAGCCCTTTACTTGACAATGCATCAAGGCCTCGAATACTACAGCTTCCTCCCTGGGTGGTCATTCTTCCCTTTCTAAGTATAGTGAACCCTTGTTTATTGCGGTTAATCGGTTCTAGGCCCTAGAACCGATAAATGAAATTCCGCAAAGTAGGATTCCTTATTTGTAAATCAAATATTTTTGTAGTTAGAGCATAGAAGACATGAAAAAACACCCTTTAGTCACCATTACACTTGTATTACCCAATTTATTAAACGAAAAAGGGAAAAGACAGGAAAACATTTTGGACGTTACAATTATCATTTATTATTTATTATATTATTTATGGCAACTAGTTTACAGTATTACATATTTCACATACAGTATTATTATACATAGTTCTTACAAATACTGTAATCAATAGCCTATGAAATGACTTAAGGGATGTACTCTACAGGTGGGTCGCCGTCTTTTTCCTCTGAAGGAACGGGTGTAGGCAGTGGGTGCTGTTACGCAAAAACCGCGATAGAGTGAAGCCGCGGAAGTCGAAGCGCGAAGTGGCGAGGGTTCACTGTAGCTGGTCACACAAACCAATCACCGTGATATCCTCAAACAGGAAATTGAGAAATCTAGGCCGAGATGAGGCTGGTTATTAGAATCACTTGTGGGTGCGGGGTAATCTGACCATGCAATTCCAGGTCCCTGTGCGTGAAGGTGATGATTCTGTGGGTACAAAGCGGGACCCGAAGTTTGTATTTCAGAACACTGCCCATGAAACAGGCAAGAGCTGCCAGCTCCAGCCCACGCAGCACCGCAGGGTAGCTCCCGCCCTGGCAGGCTCCTCTCGGAACAGGCAGTGTGGGAGACGCCAGGACCTCGGAGTGAGCAGGCTGGCCTCGGCCTCCTGACTTGCCTTGTAGTTGGGCCACGGCACCTAATGGACCTTTCTGTGCCTCGGTGTCTGCAGCCATATGTGACGTGAAAAGCGGAGCTGTAGAGTCTTTAGAGAGATACTGTGAGGGTTAGACAAGAAAGTGTCTGAGGAATGCCCAGCCCGTGCGGGGTATGGACAGTAAGTGCCCACAGCATGGTGAATAGCATCATTGCAAATTGATCTCCCTCAAACACCTTGCTGCCCTTCCTGAAATAATTTCTTGGGGTGCTGTGTCTTAGGCTACTCTAGAGAAACAAAGTGAAATGCGTGTGTGTGTGTGTGTGTGTGTGTGTGTGTGCACAAGGACAGGTAATTCAAGGAAATGGCTCATGCAGTTGTAGAGGATGACAGGTCACAAATCTGTAGGTAGGACTTTAGGTAGAAGCTTCTTCTGGTTCACATGACTGCAGGGACAGACAGACTGAAAAAAACCAGCAGGTATAGACAGCAGGCTGCTAGCTCACAGCTGCAAGAGCCAGCAAATCCTAAACTCTGCAGGTCAGGTGGCCAGCTGCTGGCTCATGTCTCAAGAATCAAAGGACTGATGGTGATGAATCCAAACACAATCCAAAGCAAAAATGATCCTTGATATAAATTATCTATTTATATACTGGCTGGCAGGCCACACCCCCAGGGAAGCTCTTTTTCCAACCTGGTTGGCTTCTCATATCAGACCTTATCGTGGTGGTCATTACCTTGTGTTACATGAACAATCAGTCCAGTGTCTACCAAAGCAAGAGACTCCGAGCCGAGGCAGCTTGGCACATACAGTTGCTAGTCCACGCTGCCTCCCGCAGGGTGAGTTGGTCTTCCTGATATGTGAGTCTTCTCCCTGTGTAGCAGGGCTGGCTGACTTGGAAGGGGGCATTTTCACAAGATGCAGCAGGCACAATTTAGGGTCATGCCTGGGTGCTAGTGCTGCCGAGCACATGCAGGGACCCCTCGCTGGGGCCCCACCCAGGTTCCTCACACAGGTGAGCAGCCAGGAGCTGCTTTGTGCACCAGCCACCCAGGTCCCTTCTGAGCCAAATGGAAGACAACCATTTTGTTTTTCATTTTCATTTTCTCTTAACTGGGAGTTAATACATAGATCAGTCATTCCATAGTTCATTCACGTCCAGCAGTATTGTACAATTGCTACCACGGTCAGTTTCCAAATATTCTTTTCCTTCCTGGCCACCTTGACATTGTCTCCCTTCTACACTTCCACCACCACTGTACCTTCCCACCTCGAAACCCTTATTCTACTGGCTGTCCCTATAGGTTCATCAATCCTGGCTTCATACACTGAAAAGCGTAAAACACAACTTCAAGAGGGTGACCCCCGATGACATAACACATCTGCGATAAACCCTAATGTGAACAAACAAACAAACAAATACAATGTTGAAACCAGATCAGCTCCAGCATGCATCAGAGAGGGGATCAACTGACAAGGTGTTAACTGTTCAGGTCAGGTTTATCCTTTTGATCTTCTCTACTCATCTCTCTAAGGCACTCTGTTTAGTTACCGCTTTCCTCCCGTCCCTCAATTATGGATAGAGGGAGATCACCCAAAGCTTATTTCCTATGCAATTCCCACAACTGTATCTTGGACCCTCACTGTCATCCACAGCCTTCTGCACACCAGATTCTCACAATTTAGGCTCTGATACTTATCTCTCCTTCAACTTCGAGTTAAATGATTTACAATTCTTCGGTGACTGAGGATGGTGTGCTTCTTCCATGTGGACTTACTTGACATCTCACTTCGATGGCTGCTTGTTTGGAGACAAGCCTTTAATAGCGCAGATGCTGTTTTATCTGAGAGCTGGGCACCATCTAATTTCTTTACCACATGTTGCTGTAGCATCCATATAGAAGGCACCCATTTTGATCTGAGACTCTCCCTTCTTGATGCTAGCAGAGGTTGTTGTTGGTGTAAGGTGACCAGACGTCCCGCTTTAGACAGGACAGTCCCGATTTTTAACAATTTTTCCCACATCCCACAGCGTTTTAAAAATTCCCGATTTTTTGAAAGAATGCACGACAAGCTAGGGTATACGGTTTTCAGCTGCCATGTGGCTATTTCGCCAGGATATGAGTTCTATCAATAGTTCTATCAATAGCTTTACCAATGTTAAAATCTGGTCACCTTATGTTAGTGTTATCATTGTATGAAATTAAGAACAGAAACCAACCAACCAACAACGAAGCCCTTAACCCCCTGGAGTTTCCTGGTTGTTTTTAAAAGGCCAGAGTTAATGGCCTGTTTGCTTCTTAAAATAAGGAAACATTGCAGTCTTGCAGCTGTTTTGTTCTTGGCTGCTTCTATGTGTCAAAGAAGCTAATGTGTGCAGTGATTTCTCTTGGGCCTTTGTGAGGTCTGAGCTGTGTCATATTGTGGTTTCAGATGTTTCACATAGAGCCAACCTCGGGGATGCTGAGTCAGCTGTCCATGGAGCTTCTTTAGGTGTAAACTAGCCGAGTCAGCGAACGCTGTAGTCACAGGCTGGGGAAGTCAGGCAGAAGCAGGCAGAACTGTGAAGAACCTGGAAGAGCCTGCTGTGGCCTGCACACTGGTCTTGGGGCCTGGGAAAGCCAGTCATCCTTCATCCCCATCCCCTCTAGCTTCAGCATGTTGGCCAGCAGCATCCACCAAAGAGGCTGCTGCATCGCCAGTTACAAGGCATTTTCCTTTCAAACAAAACAGATCTCTCTCCCCGCATAAACTTGGCTGAGAACAGCTCACGCCTTTGTTTAGTTTCACCTGCATTTCTTAAAAGTCAGTGCTAAGGAATACTCACTCACTGCCATCAACCTGATAGGGCAGGGTCGGGCTGCCCTCTGTGAGCTTCCAAGACTGACTCTTTATGGGAGTAGAAAGCCCCTTCTTTCTCCCAAGGAGCGGCTCAGTGGTTTCAAACTGCTGACCTTTAATCCATGGGAGGGCACAGTTCAATCCATAGCAGAGGTCATGGGTGAGGGTGGGCCCTGGTATCAAATGGACATTATATAAACCTGACTTGAACAGTTAAAGCCTGTCAGTTGATTCCCCACGCCCCCATGCACACGGGACCCGATCTGGTTTTACGTCACTCTGCTCTGAACATGGCACCGTGCGGCTTCCAGTACACACATCGCTGCCGCAGGGTTGAATGGCGGGGACATATCCAACCTGCCCGCTGTCAGCATTCTATGTGAGTCAGCCCCTGACCACCTGCCACCGAACAGCACCCATCAGTCTCCATACAGCCGATCACGCCCACACTGAACTTGAACGCTGAGTCACGACAGCAGGTGGTGAGTCTGCTGCTCCTCTGCTCTGAGGACCTCCGCTCACACCCCCTTTCCCTTCTAGTTCTGTTCTTCCGCTCCCGTGGGGCTGCTAGTACCCAGGGAGGGAAGGGAGGGAAGGTGACTGTCAGAGCTGCGCATGCGCCCTGGGTTGGCTCTGTAGGGACAAGTGCAGCGGAGGGAGGTGGTGCCCTGTCTCTGAGCCATTCCCGGAGCCAGGAACAAAGCAGGGCCTTGATGGCTGTGGGCAGAGGGAACACTCACCAAGTGTACATGACTGCGTTGTTCGCAAAATGCGTCCAGAGAAGCAAAAATGACCATTTATTCAGGCAACGACTAAGCGTATATCTTCTTTGCATTTATAAGATTTAACGCACTAAATATACCAGTGCCCCCATGACTCATCAGGCCAGGGCCTCTCCTCATTCTCCTCAGTCCACGACTGTGAAACAGGCCTTTGATGGGAGCACAGTGCACGTGCTCGCTGCGCCTTTAAGAGGCATGCTGCATTCCTTTGCTTCTAACCCACGTGGCACGCCTAGCAAGCATAGGAGACTGACTCATGACAGAGTTGCCCTGTTTACCAAAACCATCTAACTCACGCATAATTTGCCGGAAACGCAGTGTTTATCTCATCGTGTATTACAAGTAAACAGTGCATTTCAGCATTCTATTGCTACTGTTTTGTATAGGAAGGGTGGGAAAAGAATATTTAAACACTTTCTACCGAGAAGAGACTAAATAAAAATAAATTGCACAGCAAGTTGGTGAAGTAATAGCAAAAGAAAGAATGTCCCTACGACCAGATCCTCTCAAACCTCATCCCAGACGGCCAACAGTCAAGGCTTTGTGGGGGAGATTTAAAAAAAAAAAAATCATGAAAATTGATTTGTGCCATGAAACCTCAACAAGATAAACAATAATTATTTGTCAAACCTAACTGACCATCTTATGAAGACTCAAATCAAAGTCCCTAGATTTGAAGTCCAGGGGTAAATCAGGGTGTCAGCTGAGAAATGTGCTTCTACCCCCCACTTTCCCTACCCACCCCACCACCCTCTGGGAGCCGGGTGTCTGTGACCAGTCTCTTCTGACACATCACACTCTGTGAGTCTCTTGACTCCTGGAAACGTGTGCAGGTGCTGCTGTAAGTGAGCTGATTGTGAGCCTACACAAAATGAGATCAGCCCCCGGTGGGTGAAGGAAGGGCCGTGCCCTTGTAGAATTAGCCGAATGATCCACAGGAGGCAATTGGGGATCAAGGAGAGCATTTATGAATATCAGATGCCAGTGAGCCACTGTGTGTGTCAGATTATTTTAACATGGGCCTCATTCTGATCCAGTGGCATGCATACCAGCGACTCCTAACAGGACAAGATCATGAAATGCTGATATAACACAGCCTTCATCTCAGCCTAGTGGTTCCCACTTCAGCGATGTCTCCCTACTTCACTGTTCACTTAAGAGCTTTCCCAGGATATTACACACCAAGGGTGACGACACCCCAGGTGAGAGCAGTCCCCTCTGGACACACAGCAGGGGGTCTTGAGGCCGGGGCATTGTCCCGCCAGAGCCAGGTCCCCAGGCTCCCTGTTACCCATGTGGGCTTGGCATCTTCTGTTCCATCTCTGACCCCGCTCCTTTAGTATTACAAAGGCCAGATGAGATGGGATGCTATACACCAAACACCTCACATAGGAAGGGCCCCCCAGCTGTTCCTCTCTCTCTTAGCCCTCTGGCCCTTCTAACTGAGATCTCCCACCTGATGACAGCCCACTTTGATAGGAAAGATAGAGCAGGGGTCATCAAACTCATTCTGTAAAGAGCCAAATAGTTGATACACGGGGCTTTGTGAGACGTCGAGTCTCTGTAGCAACTATTCAACCCGACCATTGCAGCCAAAGCAAACATGATCAATACATATAAATGAAAAGTATAGCTGCGTGCCAATACAATTTTATTGACAAAAACAGACTGAGGGTCCCATTGGCAACAAATTGCCCACCTGTGATATCAAATAAAGTCACATAAATACCTCTTGTCAAAGGGAGCTGTCTTTCTCACACGCCTGGAAGCCAACTTTGCGTTCTTGTCAAACATCCATGGGAAACCTACAAACGTTCAACAAACCCCAGGCCACAGAGAGAACGTCCCCAAAGTAGAAGTAATACAATTGAGAGGCAATTAAAAAAATCAAGATTCATTCGGAGCAAAGGGTTGTGTGCCTCGAAGGGAAGTGGGTGTCCCAGGCAATAACTCACTCGCTTGTACTTATAGGTACGAAATCATGTACACCTGCTGGAGAGCGGATCCTTTGGACCGCCCGACCTTTTCGGTGCTGAGGCTGCAGCTGGAGAAGCTCTTGGAAAGTCTGCCTGATGTTCACGACGAAGCAGGCGTCATTTACATCAACACCCAGTTGCCCGGGAGCTGCGAGGGCCTGGCAGAGGGCCCTGCCTTTGCTCAACTGGACCTGAACATCGATCCTGACTCCATCATCGCTTCGTGCAGTTCCCGATCTGCCGTCAGCGTGGTCACGGCAGAAGTTCATGAGACCACCCCGCAGGAGGGGAGGTATATCCTGAACGCGGGGAGCGAGGAATGGGAAGAGCCGGCTTCTGCCGGCCCCGCCAGGGTGACACCTGGAAAGGATGGGGTTTTAGTGGAAGACAAGCTGAGAAGGAACAGGGCCAGCTGGTCCCATTCTAGCACGCTCCCCTTGGGGGGCACCTCACCGGACGAACTTCTGTTTGCTGACACCGCCTCGGAGGATTCAGATGTCGTGATGTGATGAGAACAGAGAGAAGATGTTCCCCAGCTGGGTAAATCCTTCCACTTTCGAAGGATCTGTGTACGTTGGTACTTCTGTATGTCTGTCCCTTTCCAATTAAACCCCACAGCCCCAAAGCACCAGATGAATGTTGTCGAGTAAGTCATCATGAAAAAAGACATGCTATGTATTTATTAAAATAGATATATATGTGTAAATGTGTGTATATGATAGAAAGAGACAGATGCTATATTTTAATACGAGATGACAATTTCATTTCACTTCGCCTTGCAGGTCCTCAGATTTAAACTCACATAGCCTCCTCTCTGGAGCCGCTCCTGGGTAATAACATTTGTACAGTCAAAGTTGGTGTTTAAGTACTTTTTTTAAATGACTATCAAATTTAAAGATACTTGTAAAATAAAATGCCTTATTTGATTCTGCTTCTGGTCTTTTTTGGAAAACCTAGCGTTTCTATGTGAACCACCCACCTTCTAATCGTGGCTGGTTTCGTATTTCGAGTTGACAACCTGAGTGGTTCTTCGCTATGACGGCCGGCCTAATGAAACGTGGAGGAGGAAGTCCATGTCCCCGGACTGGAGGCGTGGGTGGACAGCGGGCCCTGGCCTCGGGGTCTTTGCATAGGAGTTCTTTTCATGCCTGGCCCTCGGCACGTTTCTCCAACTCCTCTTGGCATTGCTTTTTCAGAAAAGCCGCTCCAGCGCGTCCAAAGATGAGGGGAAGAAATATTAAGAGACTGACATTTTCAATCTAAGTGAAAGCTTGAAAATAAACTGTAAGAGGATATCTGATGGATGATGTGCATTTTCTGTCAGGGAGGATAACTTGTGGGAAGCAGGAAGGGGCAGTGAGACAGGGAAGAGGCAACAAATTCTGTTGCCTGAATTCAGGTCCTGGCCTGAATTCAGGTCCTGGCTACACCCCACTTGGTAAAGAGCCATCTATAAGGTATTGAATCACCTTGCAGAAAGCAGCCTGGCTCTTCTCAGCTCTTTCTGGCCATGCTAACAGCTGAGGCTAAAGAATTGGGCTGGAGAAACCAAGAAAGAATACCTGGATACCCAGTGTTGGCCAAACTTAATGAGGCATAATGTAATCTCTCTTGGCCACCTAGGAGGTCAATAATAGTCCTGAGCCCTAAGGCTCAGAGGACTCCCGAGTTGGTGAGCATGCATGGGGAAGAGTGCTCTTTGGTCCTAGAAGGTGCTTGCTGAGATCCATGCCAGACTTCATCCTCTGTGTCTTGTTCGCATTCTTTCCGGTGGTAATAATTTGCAGTTATAAGTATCATGTGCATACTGCGAATTGTGGGTCATTCCATCAAATTAACCGATTCTCAAGAGCAGGGAGAGCCAGCAGGGACTGGCATCTTCCTGTTGGCAGTTGGAAAGAAGGGGTCCTCCCAACACGTGGGCTCTGTCCAGGCTCTTGTTAGGTGCCATGGAGTCAGCTTCAATGCACAGTGACCCGACACAACATGGGAAGCTCTGCCCAGGCCTGCCCCCTCCTCACAATCTTTATGTTCGAGTCCACTGTAGCAGTCATCGTGTCCATCCCTCTTGTTGAGGCTCTTCCTCCTTGTCATTGACCCTCCAGTTGACCACACCTGATCGCTTTTTCAGGGACTGGTTTCTCCCGATGACATACCCAGTCTGGGAGACCAAGTTTTGTCACCCGTGCTTCTAAGAAGCACTCTGGCTGTATGTCTTTCCGTATTCTCTTCCAGCACCAGAATCCGAATGCATCTGTCGCCCCATCCTCCGTGTTCATTGTCCAGCTTTCCCATGCATGTGAAGCAAATGAGAATGCCAGGGGGGTCAAGTGCACTTAGACTTCAAAGTGAACATCTTTGCTCTTTCCCACTTTAAATAGGTCTTGTGCCACAGATGTACCGAGAGTAAGACTCCATTTGATTTTTTTTTTTTTGGATCCAGAAATCATCATGAACTCCCAAACTTATTTGGCCTTCTGCCCCCTTTTCAGAAAAAAATTACTTAGGGCCCTTTTGCCAACTAAAAACTTCTGGACTTTAGCCTACAATCCAAGATAAAATATAGGTATCTGCTTTTGCGGCAACCCCCAACTCAGGTGTTCTACCCGACACCCACCCCTCCCCCAAGTCTCGCCCACTTTGGGAAACACTGATCCAGATGGCTAGGATTGGGGGACATGCTGGGAGGGCAACCGATCTGAAAGATGGCGTCGTCTAGACCTGCTTGTGAGTTGGTCAACTCAAGGTGGCTAGGACTGAGAGAAAGTACCACTTGAGTGGCTGGCAATGGGGATGGAGGAGGGAAGTGAGGACCCTATCCCTTTCTCTGACTTTGTGAATTGATGCTGATGCTTAGCACACAATGAAGACGAAAGGAAGAGCTGACCACTGTACCTCTTGCTTAGTTGCCTGCTATCGGTTGGTGTTTCAGTTTTTTGTGAGCTGTTCTGTTTGATTCTTAAATCGCCCTGGACACCGGCGCGATCACCAGATGATGGGCCAGGAAGCCAAGGTTTGGAGAACTTCTGGCTCACATCTACACAGGGGCAGGGCAGGAATCCAGATCCATACAATGTCTTTCTTCTCTTTTCTTTTTAAAATAATTTTATTAGGGGCTCTTACAGCTCTTCTCACATATCATACATTAATCCATTGTGTCAAGCACCTTGTTACACATGTTGCCATCATTTTCAAAACATTTGCTTTCTACTTGAGTCCTTGTTTTCCCCCTTTTCCACCCTCTCTCCTTCATGAACTCTTGGTAATTTATAAATTATTTTTTCATGTCTTACACCAACATCTGTCTCCCTTCACCCTCTTTTCTGTTGTGCATCCCCCCAGGAGGGGGTTATATGTAGATCATTGTGATCTACATATATAATTTGATTCCCCCTCTCTCCCCCCACCTTCCCCTTATCCTCCTGGCATTGCTACTCTCAATATTGGTCCTTAGGGGGTTATCTGTCCTGGATTCTCTGCCTACTGTCCTAATCATCAGAACATCTCTGAGCAAGGTAGCCTCTCCCTTCCTCAGTCTTCCCCACTGTGCAGTGGGGATAAACATAAGACTCACCAGAGGATTAAAAAAGTGTCATGCCAAGGGCAGTAAGAGCAATGCGTATTTACTAAATAAAATTAAAAGGTTGAAAGGCTCTGGAATAGACTCTCAAATCATAGGTTTTGAAATTGTATGGGGGGCGGGTGTGAAACACTTAAGGGCTTGCAACAGAGCAGCAAGAAGAACAAAGCAATGAAGTCCCCGGGGAATACCAAAAATATACTTTGGGGCCAGGACATGGCACCCCATCAGACTCAACCAGAAAACACTCATAAAGATCAACAAACAGACCTGGAACTATTTATAGGCTTTTCTTTTGTCGTTGGTTTTTGTTTGTTTGTTTGTTTGTTTGTTTTCTCTTGTTTTGTTTTGCTCTGCTTTGTTTTTGTGCTTATGATTGTCTTTGCATGTCTATCTCCATTAGATAGGCAGGATAAACAATCCGGAGGAGAAAACAATAGGATGACGGTTCTGGGGGGGACATGAGAGAGGGGGAGGCAGAGGAAAGGAGTGGGTGTTAACAAACCCAGGCACAAGGGAACAGCAGATGATCTAACATCGATGGTGAGGAGGGTGTAGGGGGCCTGGTAGTGCTTGATCAAGGGCAATGTAACATAGAGGAATTACTGAAACCCGAATGAAGGCTGAACATGATAATGAGACAAGAGGAAAGTAAAAGGAAATAGAGGAAAGAACTAGGAGGCAAAGGGCATTTATAGAGATCTAAATACAGGTATGTACATATGTAAATATATTTATATATGATGATAGGAAAATAGATCTATGTACATATATTTATAGGTTTAGTATTAAGGTAGCAGATGGACATTGGGCCTCTACTCAAGTACTCCCTAAACACAAGAACACTTTGTTCTAATAACCTGGCATTCCATGATGCTCACCTTCCCAACATGATCACTGAAGACAATGGGAGCGTAAGCAAATGTGGTGAAGAAAGCTGATGGTGCCTGGCTACCAAAAGATATAGTGTCTGGGGTCTTAATGCCTTGAAGACAAACAAGTGGTCATCTAGCTGAGAAGCAACAAAGTCCACATGGAATAAGCACACCAGCCTGTGTGGTCATAAGGTGTCAATGGGATCAGGTATCAGGCATCAAAGACCCAGAACAAAAAATATCTATGTGAATGATCCCAATTCTACCTTACAAATCAGATTTGACCAAAGCATGCACTCTGCTATAGATAAGAGCCCACAACACAGAGAATCCAGGACAGATAAACCCCTCAGGACCAACAATGAGAATAGTGATACCAGGAGGGTAAGGGGAAAGTGGGAGGAGAAAGAGGGAACTGATCACAACGATCAATATATAACCCCCTCCCTGGAGGATGGACAACAGAAGAGTGGTGAAGGGAGACATAGGTCAGTATAAGACATGAAAAATTAATAATTTATAAATTATCAAGGGTTTGTGAGGGAGGAAGGGGGAGATAAATGAGGAGCTGATACCAAGGACTAAAGTAGAAAGAAAATATTTTGAAAATAATGATGGCAACGAATGTACAAATGTGCTTGACACAATGGATGGATGTATTGTCATAAGAGCTGTATGAGCCCCTAATAAAATGATTTTTTTAAAAAAGTTTAACATTTTGTCAAGAAAAAAACTGCTACTCGATGTGTGCTTTGATCAGGAGCTGGGTGTGTTGGCTCTCGGTATATTCCACTTGATCTCCAGGTTCTACTCTCCACTGCATTGGGTGCACAGAACTCACACAGCTAAAGGGTTCATTAAGGAAGTCAGCAGTTGTGATGCCCATGAGAAATGCCTAGGGTTGAGTTTTTAAACAGGACATGTTACAAAGTTCTTTCAGATCTGCTACTAAATGCCCAAAGGGACATGCCACTGAATCCAGAGGCATTCTGCTCAAGCTTCATGGGTGAGCAAACCCAGTTCCCTGAATTAAGTGCCCAGAGCCATCCCGCTCTGGGTCCAGTTCCATGAGTCAGCAAGCCCAACTTCTCCAATTAAGTGCCCAGAGGCACCCACTCCACTAGCCAGCCTCCTGCACGGAAGCACTCAGCTTTACTATTTCTGTGGGTTGGGAAGTTCATCACTCTGTTGCATGCTCTGGCTCCTGGTTCTGCAGCTGCTCCTCTGATGGAGCTGTCTTCTGGATGAAGGAGGTTCACTGTGCAGGGATCTCAAGTCCAGAGGATGTGCTTCACTCCTGCCTCTTGCAGGTAATGATATTCCCCATCTTCTGCTTCTCAGAGGGCTCATTTTATACATAGCAGGATGACACTCCAGGGAATGCTGTTCACAATTACTCACAGATGAATCCTATCAGTATCTTCCCCACCTTCTTACCAGATCCATGCAGGGAAAGGTGGTTTGGTGGGAG